ATTTTCTCAGCGCTTGTTTCTGCATTGGACGTTGGTTATTTTGTACTTTACACTGTAAAATGGCTGCCGGTGGTAAGATTAACCAAATTTCTGCACTATTTAGAACAAAAACGTTGACTGGTGTCTAAATGAAGATTTAAATGGCTTCGTTCAAATCTCAGTAAATTATACACTGACATTTATGGATTTGGAAACCGGAGCTCATATTAACACTATGGAAGGTATGTGAAGTGTAATAAAATGGAATTTTCGAAAGAAATGCCACAGAATCAGAGGATATTTTTGTTTTTACTTTTAAGAATTTATGTGGCAATAGCAGTATACAGATTCTAGCTCAGATAATTTTAAACAGGTTTTGGATGCTTTTAAAGAATTCTATGTGCTACACATCGAAGACGCAGATATTTCTAAATAAGGCAAGTAGATATTTCCTTTTTGTACTGCGCACATTACATAACATACATTTCCAATTTTATGTTATTTCCTCGTTTTATTTTAATTTAAAATGCAGTTTATTAAGTTCATAAATTTTTTATGTTTAATTCATTATGGTTTGGATGCTATTTTACTTGGGAGGGCATTGCACAAAAACAGGAATGGTGCCACAAAATCACCAATTTTTGCAAAGAGGCACCCTGAAATATATTTTTCTCGCATGTTTAAATAAGGTATGGCTTTTTTAAGCAAAATGATCCACACCCCTAAATTAATATTATTACTACCCTGGTTTAGGAAGATTAATTTGAAATTTCTGTACGATTTAGAACGAAAGGGGAAAAGAGCATTAATTGACGACTGGTGTGTAAATGAAGGTTTATTTAGAAGCCATTTTCCGGACAGTCCGGAACTACAGAAGACATTTTTTACTCTAATTTTTTTTTTTTTTTTTTTTTTTTTTTTTTTAAATTTATGCACTGATACCGATACATGGATTCAAGTTCAGATAATTTTAGGAAGTTTTTGGATGCTGTTAAGGAATTTTCTGTGCCACAGACTGAAGATGAAGAAATTTCTAAATAAGGGTAAGTGGGTATTTGCCTTGTGTAGTGCTTAGATGCACAAGAGGTTTTTCCTTTTTTATGTTATTTTGCTGTTTGGTTTAAAATGTAGTTAGTTTATCGAGATTATGTATTTTTTGTTTGCCACTACTGTTGAATTGGGTGCTCCTTTGACTTCTTAAGTGAAAATATATATGTGTACATGGACAAAGTCAAGTGAGTGCGCAATGCCAAGTTTGTGCAATTCTCTGATGTTTTTATAAGTGAAAATAGGTTGATGTGTACATGGATAAAGAAAAAGGCACGCAATGCCTAGTTTGCACAATTCTGCGATTTTTTTTAAAGTGAAAATAGGTCAGTGTGTACATGGACACCAAGTTTGACTTATTATGTGTAGTGGCAATTTTTGGCGCTAAAATCGCCGCTACACAAAGCCAAAATAACAAGTCAAAGAGTTGCACAAACTTGGTATCCATGTGCCACCAAAAATCACCAATTTTCTCCAGGGTACCAGTAAATATACTTTTATCATATATTTAATATGCTTTAGGAATGCATTTCACAATAGGTGCCTATAAAAATACTGCAATAATGTTTAAGTAGCAATAAGATGGAAGCATATCATAAAATGTAGAAAAACAAGACTAAGCAGTTTGATTTACTTAAATGAAACTGAATTTTGAAAACATACTTGCCAACCTATGACACTCAAAAATCAGGAGATTTTTTTACGAAATCAGGAGATTTTTCACAATGTTAAAAAGACTTTTTAAATGATAAAAATATAGTTTTTAATAATGAATTAACTTTAAATAGTAACTAATTCTTAAATGCAAGCAACAAAAAAATACCTTACACATAAAAAACATTTTTATTACTTGCATCGTTTAAGGAAAAAAAAAAAAAAAAAAAAAAAAGACACTTTAGTTTTCGTACAAATGTTATAAACAGTGGCAGATTTTGCTTTCTTTAAGAAAGAAACTTCATAATTTTGTTCACAGCAATTGCTACGTAGGCCTGTTTTCGCTAATAAAAGTTTTTCGAATGTGTCATCACTAATATTAGATCTAAATTTAGTCCTCGTTTTCGCAACACTGAGAATCCTCTCACACTCTGCATTACTATAGGGAACTGTCAAGATGGTAACACAATTCTAGACAGTTCACTATATTTTACAGTTCCATCAGCACCTTTCACTTTTCCAATTAAAACTCCACTGGGTGTCAATCCTAGCTGATTTTATAACTTCATCCAAGTTTTCTAATTGTAAACTGCTGTTATGCAGCTGTTACAATTAGGAAACTTGAATGAAGACTTGGATGGATTGTTTCAATTTTTCCTTCCTTTTAGAACTCCTTTCAAGATAATAATAAATATCAACGATGTGTTCATCCACATTTATGGGTAAAGAAGCTGCCCCTTTTTCAGCTGCTAAATTTAAGAGGTGACAGGTGCACCTCATAATCTGAATTTTCCTTTTCTTAAGATGCCTGCAACACCAGTCTTCCAAGCCTACCAATACTGGTGCATTATCCGCACCAAGTGCTAAGCAATTATCCAGAGGGCCTGCATTTTCTTTTAAAGTTTTAATAATTAGCTGTGCTATATTAAAGCCTGTCAAATGTCCTTCTAAAGTAGGAACATAAAGTAAACTGCACTCAATTTCTGAAGACTCTGGATCAAAAAAATAACAATTGGATACAGTTTTGAATCGGTATATTTACTTCCATCCGTAGAGAGAGCAGAAAGGAGCTGTTTTAATGCTAATCAATAACTGAAGATTTATTTTTCAAACCCATTTCTTTAACAATTGCATCCTGTTTTGATTCTTGCACCTTGAGTATTTTTAGCGATTTCACTATCGGGAAACATTTTTCTAAATAAAGCTGCAGCGTGATCCGATGCATTCAGTGGCAGGATGTGCTCCAGTAAAAAGGCATAGAACAGACATTCTGCATTAATAACTTTTTGGTCCTTTGTTTCCGAAGAAAAATTTAATTTTTCCGTTTTTTTCCAAAACAACTCATGTTATCCTTGTGTTTTTGCGTACGTACATGTTTGAGAACATCCTCCCTTCCACCATGCGAAATTGAAATCGAAAAATCGCAACGACGGGTGGTACACATCGCAAATTTATTACATTTCTTTGAGGAAATAATGGAATGAAAGTCAACTGTGTACGATTTTTGAAATGTACACGAGTATTTCACTTTCTCGCAGACGTAGCAAAAGATGATAATTTCTAAAACTATTTCCCTAAGGCACGTGTACTCACACAACTCTGGACAAAATGAAAGAAATAACTAAAGCACGTCCAAATAACAACTTACTTTGTCCTCACTGGCTAATATATGCCAGCTGACATGCAGTGGAGCTCGAAGCCCATTGGAGAACTGGAGAACGACGTTTCTGGATACGTATAATGCTGTCACTCACAAAGCAGAAGCTATCTGATTAGCAAGGTTTTGTTTTAGATATAATGTAGAATAATTCAATTGCTTTCAGACATCCAAAAGCACTTTGTTTTTATTCATATAACAAAGTATTAAGCCAAGTTTCATAAAAGTCGTGAGAAATTTTAAGAATAAGAAAAAGTCGGGAGAAATATATCGTAAATCGGGTTGGCGGGAGAGCGGTCGAAAAGCGGGAGTCTCCCGCTTAAATCGGGAGAGTTGGCAACTCTGTGAAAATAATGAAATATTTTTTATATTTAATACTGTTTTTACAGTACACTGCATAATGCACTGTTGTAAGCAGCAAAATTATCAACTTAAAAACATTTTTCTAATCCATAATGTCCTACAATATAAAAATTAGAAACATTTACACTTCATACTGCAAATGCTAATAACCGTTACAAATCCTGTGGCATGACGTCCACAACTTCAGAACTGCAGTATTTTTGTGCACACATATGAGAACAGGTAAACCATCAACACATATCTAGACTTGTATTGCAATACTCATGGATTTATACACTTTTTATAATCACTATTTCACTGCACAGAAGTCACTGACTGTAAAACTATAAACATGGGCCATATATATTTTTTGATTGTTTCATAAAATGCTTTCCTTTTGTTATGATTATTTATGAACAGAACAGTATGTGCAGTAAAGACATTCAAGCTAGTCTTTTACGACAATTACTAAAACAGCCAGTTGACAATATTTTGTAAGAGCATGGACAACAAGTCCAAATTATTACCTAATGCTACACCTGCTTTTAGTTAAAAACATTCATGTTACACACAGTTAATAAACTAGTAGCTCGGGAACAGATACAACCATTAGTATAAAGAAAATGGTTTATGCATTTTAATACAAATAAAATGAAAAAGATCTGATCCACACAACTCATTTTGCTCAACTTATTATTAACAGAAAAAAAAAAAAATTGGAATTTGAATTCCATTAAATAAATAAAAAACAGCTACATCTGACACCCCCCTAGCCCAAAATCAAAACGTTTTGAGAGATCATTATACATTTTTAAATCATTTTATATTACAAACATCTTGAGATATTAAAGTATAGTACAGGATATTATTTCTAAATAGTTAAATATATTTACAGTATAAATAGCAGTTTAACTCGTAAGAAACATATTCATCTACATTAAAATAACTAATTTTTTTTTTAAGTGTTACTAAAAACTATTTATTATAACTTACAATTTTGCTATTAGAAAAATTACCAATGATAAATATAAAGTTTACTGAGTACAGAATTCAATCAGGTAAAGCTGTGCATTAATAAAAAATTTACACATATTTTCCAACAAAACAATGTAAAAAAAAAAAAGTTAATGCTTACATGTTGGAACAGGAATCTAATCTAAATCTGCTGATACATCACTTCAATCAAATATTATCTTAATCACCTTTTCAGAGTTTAAATAGCTTCAATGAATAATGTTTCTGTCATTCAATAAAGATGCTACTATTAGTTTTCAGAATAATTTAATATGTTTAAGGCATGTATCTAATGAATACACACATGTACACTACAACAATTACTTTATTTTCAAACTACATAAGTGCACATATCAATAAAATACTGACATCCCAAGTACACAAATAATGATACTTTTTAAACAAATGATGTCAAATTCTAGACTAATAAATAAGCATAAAATGATACTCACTTCATTAAATTAAAATACCAATTTGAAAAAAAGGAAAAAAAATGGTTTTATAACGGGATAGTGATTTTACAGACATAACCAATCTTAGGTAAACAATGAAATACAGAAGAGTATTTCATATTTTTAAATAATAGACTTGAAGTACAAATATTGAAAATAATATTCATACATGGAATGAAAATATGTTTTAAATGCTAAGAGCAAAAACACACACTAAAAGATGCCTTCAAAATGTTTACTTGCGAAAACACTAAATGTTGGAAATTCAATTATGCTAGAACAGAAGTATAGTTACTAGGCATTACTACTTCATGCACGAAATACACTATATTAAATGATACAAAGAGGCACCACACAAAATAGATAACAGGAATCATATAAGCAGCAAACATACCAATCAGCATTTTTGGTTTCCCAAAAATCTACAAATATATCAAGCATTTCATTAGCCATTATTCGTACACACAAGAATTCTACATTTAAAACTTTGCAATTATTTTACCAGTGAAATGGAATGCATATGCATCAATATAAATTTCTGAATAGTTACATCAACTAAAATTCAAACTTAATGACTTCCATATCATTTTCATTCATAAAAATGTAAATAGGAATTTTAACACAAAATTTAGTGCAAGAATTCAAAACCTGTAGTACTCATTTAAAATTAATACTAACGAACGGATACATAAATATGTTCTGCAAATAAAATTTTATGAATTTTATTGCTTGATATATGTTCACTTGTAAAAAATACAACATAATAATAACTTTACATAAAGCAGAAATGCCAACTTTGAAGACACTTTAAAACATTCCATCTATAAAGTATGAATACATTTTACAATAATTTTTAGATAGTTCACATAAATAAATGTTGAATGGAGTTTAGATATAAGTTTCACACATGAAGCGTATTAGCTACACATTTTAAACAAATACTTTGCACACTTAAGGTATAAGTTTCACATATTAAGCGTGTTAACTACACATTTTAAATAAGTATTTTCCATACTTAATAGGAAGATTTTCAATAAACAGCTTACTCCAATTTTAAAAACCTGACAATGAACTATCAATCCACTTAAAAAGCATTATTAACATAATATTTAATAACAGTTATATGTTGATCAATGCTTTAATATAGATTTTGTTCTACAAAACTAAGTCAGAATTTTCGATTCAATTATAACTCTTATTAATTTAACATAAATGAAGCAATGTACAATATCTTTTATACACTGCATTAACAAAATCTAATCCTTTGGAAAAATAATTTTAAAGCATTTACTCAAACATGAATAACAAATTTCAGTATGATATTAGGTTAAAGATCTACAACATTCTTACCAACAGACAAAAGAATTCAAACTTGATGTCTTGGAAGTTTAAAAACGCAAATGAACAGTTTCCAAATAAATTTATGTTGCATAACGCTTGGTCCAGAGTCGGGCGATGCGATCATGCTCCTCTCTATGCTGAACATACTGGGTAGCAATACTACCTACCAGAGGATCAGCTGGGTTACTATCGGTAAGCAACGAGCAAATAGATAAGAGTACTTTCGAAATGGTGAGCGCAGGACTCCAATTGTCTTTTAAAATGTCCAAACATATGACGCCTTGGCTATTGATATTGCAATGATAAATTCTGGTGCGAAATGTTACCTTGGGAGGTTTAAACGGATATTCTGGAGAGAAATGGATGTCAAGGAAAAATACACCTCCTTCATAAGCTGAGCCTGGAGGGCCTAGAATAGTAGACACCCACTCATATAAATTATCACCTTTAGGCCCTGCACTACAGTTGGGTGGCGGATCCAAAGTTATTTCCGCTAATTCTTTCTGAATTCGCTTCATACTGGTATTCAGCGCTTTCGACATCTTAGGAGTAGACTTTGTCTCCTTGGTTTCTTTCTCACGCTCCGAGTTCGATGACGATGACCCACTCAGTCGACTTCTCGACGAACTCGCTCCTCCGGAATTGCTAGATGACGCCATCACATAGATTGAACGTCGATACGATATTCGTCCTTTTAAACTGTGTTTATTATGGTAATATTTCGTTTATAGAACTTACTTAGCGTTACACAGCTACAAACTCATTAACCTTAACGCATCTATTGTTCTGGAAGCTGGTAGTTAAAGTAGAAGTGCCAAGTTTTTATCTCATTGGTTACAGTTAAAGCTTTCGACCATTCTCCTTCTCCTGCGCCACCTCACATGAGGCTCGCTCGCTAGCTTCTTCTAAAAGCTGTTTCAGTTAAAATACTCCGCGCCAGTAGATGGCAGTAGCTGTTGGATAGGGAACATCGTTAGAGAGCACGGTTTTCGCGCGCCGCCTTTGAAGGTTTGAAATTTTGATTGCTACGATGAACCTTGACCACACGGCATTTATTATTTCGCATTTGAGAAACGCACAGAATAAAAATACATATCGCATTATTTAAAAAAAAAAAGAGTTCATTCCAAATCAGACGTTATTTATATTTTATATTAAATTTTAAAAATCTGCAGATGAATTTTTTTATATTTGCGCAAAAGAAATATAATTTTTTTTTTTTTTTAAACTTTTTACAAAAAACTTTTACGTAATTTTAGGTAGTGTTTGTTTACATTGACTTGTAAGAATTTCGTTTTGGTTCTGCTTTGCTGTGTCTGAATATAATTTGTTAATGTGCTTATAATTTTTATTTCATTTTAATTTCTTTAATTTAAAAATATTTCATTTGTACAAAAATTACCGTAGATGATTTTTTTAGGTAAATTGCTTTTTTTACATAATTTAATTTAGTTTTCTTAAATTTTCACTTACTAATTACTTTTTTTGCGATAATCGTTTAGCAGTTTTACCATTTCTTAAGATTAACATTTATTACTTAATAATATATTATTAAGTAACAAATGTTAATAAGTAATGAATATTAATTTGCTCATCCGTTTTCTGATTATAATTTGGAATGTTCTAATTTTATGCTGTCTAATTTTTATATAGTATTATTTGTTTGCCGTGACGTCGAAGCAGATTATATATTGATGATCGATTAAAAAATTTTAATCTTAAATTTTTAAATTTTCACTTACTAATTACTTTTGTTTTGCGATAGTCATTTAGCTGTCTTGCCGTTTCTTGGGATTAACATTTATTACTTGAATATTAATTTGCTCGGTTGGTTTTTCTGATTCTAACTTGGAATGTTCTAATTTTATTTTTAATAATTTTTATACAGTATTATTTGTTTGTCAGAGCAGATTATATACTGATGATTGATTAAAAAAATTTGAACTTTATTTTATTACATTCATTATTAATATTATTTTTAAAAAATTCAATGATCTTACATTTTTGTTTAAATTAACTTTTTTTTTGTCTAACTTTTGAATTATTTCACAAAATTATATGTTGACTTTGTTGCTATGATGATCCAGAAAAATGTGGCTTTGTCGAAAATTTTTCGGCTGCTTCTTGAAAAAGACCATGAAATTTTCAACTAATTGTTTTATCATATTATTATTATTATTATTATCAGTTAGTCGTTTTTGATCTGATTTTGATTTATATTCTATCTGTTAACTTGTCAGCCACCAACTTTGATTTCATTATGCGTGCATGCGTAATAATTCGGATACATAGATACGTAGTAAAGAAAGATAAATGATGCGTAGTGAGGAAATTTTCAGACATTGACAAATTAATATTTTCTTTTATTTAGGTTGATATACATTTTTAAGCCACCATACGTAACTGAGAACTAAAAGCGCGCCTGTTCCAGAAGTACATGATACCCATTTATAATTTTGAAGAGAGGCAAAACAGCATGCCATTTAGCCGACAAGAAGAAAGCAAGTGCGTAATTCGATATCGGAGTCTTCAAAAGGAGAAAGGTTTAGTTTACAAATTTTGACTTTCACTTAAAAACTAGCAGAGCCATCCAGCATTATGAAAAGGATGGAGAGGGGAAATATCCAAACCAAATTAGAATTTTAAGGGTCCACTTATATATATGTACACACTGTTGCTATCAGGCCGTTTTTCACAAAAATAAGCTGCTTTTTAGATTCATTGTCCGGATTAATTATTAGTTTATCTGGCTTTCGTAGAAATTGCGAAATTATAATGATATAAAAAAAATTCGCAAAAAGATTTTTGAGTATTTATTTTAACGGATAATGAATGTAATTTCACTTCCATTCAAGCTTATCATAAGGCCAGAAGTGAATACTGTAAAACTGGTGTAACAGATTTAGTTTATAAGTTTTTAATTTTTGCTTTACTTATTCATTGTAAGTTAGCAAGTTCTGAATATGTTTGTATATTATTTTATGTAAAATAAATGTATATTATATATAAAATAAACAATTAAAGAGGTAAAATTCATAATTTTTGTTTTAATTCCTAATTTGCTGTTTAAACCTTTTGCTTAACAGAGATAATTAAAGTTTTTTACTAGTGGCTTTTTTTTTTATCAAGCGAAAGTAAGACGAAGTAGTTTTTTAATTTTAAAATTAAACAATAATTAAGCTATTTTTTATATTTCATGCAGGAAAAAATGATATAATTTCGGAAATTATTACTGTTATTTTTTTAACTTAAATTTAATTAAAAAAATGTTCTCACTTACAAGACTGCTGCGAAATTCATAAATATGCCCAAAAAATTGACTTTGGTAAAATTAAAAAAGAAACTGATTTTGATAAAATAAAAGATGACTATATTTTTAATGAACTTTGTACAATAAAGGAAATATTAGGGTATTTGAAAGGGAAGTTAAAAGAAGGTAGGAGGAATTCAGAGTTATAGGCAATTATATTAAAAAAAAAGAGGAAATTTTCAAACTCAGATGTTAACTGAATTTATATTTAGGATTCAGACTTCCAATGCATACGCTGAAAGATGTTTGTTTTCGGTGAATAATTATTCAAGTACGATGTGAAGTAGATTAACACTGGAAAAGATTAAAGCTTTAAATACTGGTTTGCAGTAAGATAAAAATTGAATGTAATTTACGACCAAAAATGCGCTTTTAAAGCGGAAATTAAAATAGTAATAATAAATTTTAATATAGTTTCAATTATTTTCCTGTAGTTTTCTAATATATGTATATTACTCCTGTTAGTTTTTTTTTTTTTTTTTTTTTTTTCCAAATTCATATAATTACATTATATATTGTACCTATGGTACTTTACCGTACATTATAAATGTTATTATGCATAACTATTCTTACTTTTAAGTATTATTTGTGCATTTAATATCGATATCCGAGTGTGACTAATTATTTTATTATATGTCACATGTGATTATTTAATGATGTGTCATGTTACATGTTTACCTTCCAAAAGGAAAATATTTATTTTCTTACTATAAATACAACAAAACAATTTTTTTTCCTTCCCTTCCCCCATGACATCCTGATTTTAAAATGTGTGGGTCAAAAATTTTCAAAACGGTGGCAACGCTTATATATATAAATCGGAAGTTCAAATGCTTGGAAAATAGCGCTTGAAGGAAGAGAAATTTAAATTTAATTCAGAAGCTTCTTTAATCAAACATTTAATTATTAACTGTCTGCATTGAATTCAGAAGGTATTAATTCATAATTATTACAACTACAAAAAAAGTACAGTAAAACATTACTAATAAGAATGGACTCACTGGTAAAAAGCTTTAAAGAATTCAGTTCACCAATTAAAGAAGCTATGATTGTTTTAACAGAATCAAAGTCAAAACTGCGATGAAATATTATAAACATTTGTTAAAATATAGGTTTGTGCAGTCCAAATTAATATTCTGAGTGGCTGTTTCAAGTACCGAAAGATGCCGCCCAGACGGAAGAATGGTTAGTGACTGACTGCCGTACCGAAGGACCCGGTTAAGAATCCCGGATAAGGCATAGATGTAAACCAATAGGAGGCAACCGTGGCCGGAATCCATAATAAAGTGACCTCCTGCTTCCGGCCTTAGTAGTGGCCAACACCTATAATGATTGGCACCTGCCACTGTAAGTTACCGTAAGTTTACTGAAAACTGTAAGTTTACTGAAAAATAAACAAGAAGGTGTGGTTTCGTGCAAACTCTCACTAAACTATTCAATTACTCATTGATCAATGAATGTTTCTTGTGCCCAAGTATCCCTGCTTTTTGATTTGTGCGTACGCAAGTACCACTAAACTTGTCTCTGTCCACTTTCTTCTATACCCTCCTCTATCTCCGACATAACCGTACAATTTCAATGCATCATCGTGACTGTAAACCTCCTTTAGGCTCACTGCTGCATTCCCGAACTGAAAAATGAAAACTACACTGCAAACTACTTCTGTTTATACGGACTGGACATTTAATTTTAAAATTTCCGTTTAAGATCTAAAATGTTAGAAAACGTTTTCCTACAAATTAATGGAACTTTTTTAAGCTGGGGCAGAGAGATTTATGCCATTTGGATTCATGGAAATTTTCACAGGAACAATTAACTTCCATAAACAGGCAAAATCTGCATATCTGAAATCGAACTTCTATCCTTACCAAGTAAAGCTCGCATATGAACTCACAAGAATATACGGATTATTCTTTTACTATTATTATTATTTTTATTAGCACCCGAGATAATTTTGTTGCTTTCGTTTTAAGATAAATACCACGTTCAGGTAAACAGTATAACTATATATTTAGCAACATACGTAATATAAAATACTTCATTTATCTTCCAGATTATTGTAGATTACTGTTTAGGAGTATAACAAGTTACTTTAAAAAAAGTGTGTATTTTTTAATAAGATTTGATACTTTCAAATGGCAACAAGATTTTTTATTAACCAAATATTTGCTCTTCATATTTCAAGGCTTCCAAACGGTGATTTCATGGTTAGATAAAAACAGAATATATCCAAAATAATTCAAGAATGCTCCCTTTTTGAGAAGACATTAGTTACTTATTCCAAAGCATGCAAGAGCTGCGTTATTATGCTTACATCCGTAAAAAAAATTTTTAAAGGATTTAGTTCGTTTTATATTATACATAGAGAAATTCCCTGAAGTCTCATTTAACTAGCTCGTTCAATCGCCAAGCACGGAAACGCTGAATACCTATTGATTAATAAATGTAATAAAATGTTAATTTAAACAGTATTTAAATTAACATTTACACCATTAATAGAAGAACCTTTCATATAATACAACAGTTACGCCCTTGAAAATCAGTCGGGAAATCGAGAAATTTTCCGA